TCTCAACGAAGAAGGCAAACCGCTGCATTCTCAAATTTTTTATAGCAGCTCTAGAAATTCTTTACATTTAAGTGATTCACGATTGAAGCAAAGCACACCGCCACCTTGTCCGGTTACAACTTGTAAATCCAATGTTTCGACCGTCTCACAGCCAGAACTGCGGTGTAATCCCATTTCTTACAGCAGATCCCCGACGGCGCTGCAGTTTGTCTCATCAAAAGAAAAGTTAAATCCAAGTGATCAACGGAGCGAACCAGAAACACCAGTTCATCAAATCACAGAAACAGCAAGTAATATCTCAGTGAACCTTGGACAGAGCAGGTCGATAAGATCGCTGACAAAGCAGGACCTAATGGCCACACATAGTAATTCATCCAAGTCGCTCACAGTTCATGACCCAGCGTCTGTAAAATCAAAAAGTAGTTCCATTAACATAGAACAAAACACGGAGACGGAGCCGCTTCACCTACGCTCCAGACCAAAGTCAGAAAAGCTTTACGCGCCGATGAATCTCCACTCCAATGCCAGCAAGGTTCGACCTATTTCCGCAAATGTTTTGTACCCACTCGCCAGTCATATTCCCCAACAAACCGGAGCAATGAAATTACCCCCGATAACCAGCATGTGTTCCATGACAGCGAGACCCGTCTCCGCAAAGCAACCGACCTCAAAATCTGAAGTATTTTTGCCGGCTTCCCAACCAGATATAGGAAAGCAGTTTGCCCCACAATCTCGACCCAGCTCTGGAAAGCAGTTTGCCCCACAATCTCGACCCAGCTCTGGAAAGCAGTTTGCCCCACAATCTCGACCTAGCTCTGGAAAGCAGTGTGCCCCAAAATCTCAGCCCAGCTCTGGAAAACAGTCTACTTCGCAGTCAAGGCCTGTTTCAGGTTCGCCACGACCACACTCAGCCACATACATGCAGCGTCCAGGCTCGGACAGATGTAGCCCCTCTCAGTGCAGTGATGGCCTCACTTGCGATAGAGCCGACCTGAACGTGAGACTGAGTCCTATTTGTGTGAGATCAGATCGTCACGGATGTGGTGAACAGTGGACTAGCCAGCCAGGTCAGTAATTAATTATTAAACGTTGGTAATAAAAACACAAGAACTTAATAAGTTGAATGCCTTCCAGGTGACGAACTCTCTTCTTTCAACTTTTACTGACACATATTTCAGACACGTACCTGGATTAAAAGTACATAAATCTTGAAATTGAATCTCTTAACCTGTACATTTTCAGTTATTTTTGTTTAAAATTATCATGTTTTCCTTTTATCTTTTATCTATTTATTGATTAGATTTATGAAAAAAAACCCTCATCGAATTGTTAAAAAAAAGGGTGAATGTAGATAACAAAAAACTGGGTTGTCGTGAGTTGAATAGTAAAGCGCTTAACTTTTGAACCAGGGTTAGCGAGTTCGAATCCTGGTTAAGAGTAGGATTTGGAACTTTATAATTTTTAAAGTATCCCTGAGTCCCCCCAAACTAATGGGTACCTGATATAAAGTGAAAAAAGTAAAGTCCTCGTGATCTATAGGGCAGATGACGTGGCCCACAATGAATGAATGTGTCATAAAGCCAGCACAACGTCCGACCACTTTACTTTCCCCAACTAAAATTAGGTACCCAGGGGCTCAGGGGCGCCCATAAAGTCCCATATCATCTGCTCCCAAAGATTAGGCCTGAAAGAGTTACGTAAACAAAAGAAAGTCATTGACTAGAAGTTTCTTGTTATCCTTAATCCTCCTATTACATCTTTGCTGACATACTATCTCATAAATATATAAAGTAAATGTGATACTTATTTGCACTTGATGCTTTAGCGACTATGGAAGTTTCGAAGTCATACAGGACTGTGATATCAATTGAAAGGCTGCTGACAACTGACCTCGCGGACATCTCCGATGCCCTAAACAAAGTATTCTTGATAGGATATCATATAATTCATATGACACTGTTAAGGGGAGACTATACATTAATTTTGTTTCCCTTCGACGAATTTTACTAGCAATGCCGTCCGTTAATTTTAAATAATAATAAAATGAATAATGCAATTTGCATATACACCGAAAGAATGATCACATACTAAATCCTAGGCCATAAGAAATTATTTTAATATATTTTATTCAACAGCCTCATAGTCGACAGTTCAATCTTAAATATGCTCTCAAAGAATAATAATTGTTTATAATACTATGTTGTCCATTACCATCGTCATAAACTCCCTACCTTCTATATATTGCAAGTTTTAATCCTTGTTTGTGTATTTACTCCCTGATTGTGTACTGGTTTCTATTTACAGTCTATGAAGTTGAGGTCAACAAGTGCGAATCTGCCACTGACCTCAGAGTCACCTCGCCTACAGTAGGAAGTCATCAACTTGGCTTTAGGGAAAGTGGCGACGGTCCTCACATCTCCGCACCGAGCCCAAAGAAAGCGTGTGAGGATCCATGCAGCAGTAGCGAGGCCCTGACTTGTAGCGCCCAGAGCGCGAGCACCACACGCGCCTCGTCAAGCAGACATGCCCTGGCCACTTGCTCTGTGGAGCAGCTCACAGGTGGCCCTGACGCCAACAAGCCATCCTGGAGCGACGGTCCTCCAAAGGAGCAGGCGGCACCTCCTGTCAAAGAGATGTATCCGCAAGCATTAACCCTCAGCGCGGACCAGATTGGTAGCATACGACAACAGCTTTACGAGGAGGGTCTCAAGCCTGCAGAACGTGATGGAGGTGTCGCGTTCTTTATCCCTATGACAGTTGACGGCCTTCAGCCCCAGGCCAATGGTGTGATAATCTCTGACCGACTGACCAGATCCAGGAGGTATGTTATGTGAAATTAATCTTGTTTTTTTTTTACAAAGCTTATATATATATCAACTGTCTCTGTCTATCCGGGAAAAAAATGTGCACACGTTATTTCTGCCACACCCAATCTCAAGCTGAAATTTGGCACAGTTATTTCTTTTATCTGACAACACAATAGTCAATAAAAATTAACCAATACCATAATTAACTATTGGTAATTATTTTTTATTTTGGGGTATCGAACAAGGGAAAGAACCTGTGTTCGGCTGATAAGCGATTTGCTTTCGCAGTGGTTATTGTTTTGGCTTGACGAGGCTTTAGGATGCTTGCGCTCTTGAGTTTGAATTCAGGTCGTTCAACTTTTTAATTTTTAAAAAATAAAAAAACAAACTGGTCCAGGCTAGTGATAGAATCACAGAGTATTAGGAGAGCTAAAGCATGAAATTGCGCTTAACAACAAGCAAATGGTAAAAATATTTCTAATCGCACAGATGTATTATTGCTAGCCTAGATCTATTACAAATTTAATTACATGACTGATCCACGCCACGCCATTTTCCAAAGAGAATTAGATGAATTACAAAAAATGGGAATCAAATTGGAGCATGTCTTTCCACCTAGAAAAATGTCAGCTTTTAAGAGTAACAAAAAAACTAAAATCTCATTCATGGTAAACCAGTAACACAGACTAAAAACGCAAAATACCTAGGTGTTATAATAAATGAAAAACTGTCATGGAATTCCCATATTGATGAAACTCGAAAAATCAAACAAAGCATTATGGTTCATTAAAAAAAATGTCTATAAATCAAATAAGAACATAAAGCTATTTATTTAACCTTGGTTAGGCCAATAATAGAATATGCATCCTCCGTTTGGGACCCCTCAACTCAAGAAAACACTAAGAAACTGGAACAGACACAAAATAGAGCAGTGAGATTCATAACAAATGAATATTCACATTTGACTAGAGTAACACCTATAGTAAAATCACTAAATTAGAAAGCCTTCAGGAGAGAAGACTCAAAAGTATAGTAGCAATTATACATAAAAGACTGAACCATAATCTTCAAATACAAAAACACAATTTAATAAAATACTCTGAAAGACACAAAGATAAAAGTACATTCCTCGTCCCATATGGTAGGACAAATTTGTACAAATACTCCTTCTTCCCTAGTGCTATTAGAGCATGGAATGGGTTGCCTGAGCTAGCCAGGAAAACCAGTGACTTGGCAGAATTTGAGTCATTCTTTAACATGCATGACTAGATGCATGACGCCTAGGACGTAATTATCTTATTTTTTGAAGTAACGTCTGTATTATATAAGATAAGATAATTCATACAACTACGCGTAGCTTAAGCTTTATTTTTAAAAAAACGATTTTCTAAATTATTTTTTTATATAACGTTAACTAGAATAAGATAAGCGAATCCTGTTTTATAGTAAAGTTCCTCTTTCCTACTTTGTGATCTAAAGTGCAGATCGCCGCAGACGATGTAAAGATCATCAGTCTTGTTGGTCACGGTTGACAAGGGTGTCATGTGGTCAGAAGAACGAACATCCGCCTTTACAAAACATGAATCAATCAAAAGATTAACCAATTAATTAATTACTTAGCATTAATTAATTAATTTTATTTGATATAGAAAAGGGAAATATATTTTACAGTATTGAGAGATGCGTTTAGTTAATTTGTGATTCTTCCCTTATTTGAACTTTGTTTCTTTTTTTTTCTCTTAAGTATTTTCTTTTCAATTTTGTTTTTGGTTTCAGGTCGAGTCTGAGCTACGAAGAACGACTCATCCTAGCCAACATCAACCGCCAGGCTCAGCTGCACAAGAAAAAGGAGTTTGCTCTGAAGGACATACAGAACGTACGAGGAGCAGCGAGCAATGCCGAAATCGACCGAAGCAAACACGAGGATGAGATAGATGCTGACCTGGACTCTTCATTGTAAACTCCCCCCCCCCTCCCTTTCGCAAGCTCATCTTTATCCCGTGGTTTTATCACTTCTAACATCCTTGACATTTTCGAGGTGGAGTTTAACCCGACTTCACTTTTTTTTTTTTTTTTAGCATTATTTGTGTGTGGAAAGGAACGATAGCAATTCTAGGGTAAAAATGAGCACAGTTGGCAACGTTGGAGTGGCTGTAGGCCATCAGATGATGTGTATTTCATACACCCCCCCCCCCCCCCCACACACAGCTGCAACACGCAAGCAACCACAAATTTGTTCATTGTCTCATGACATGCACTCTATGTTCGCATTATTGTCACGAGTAGGGATAGGCCGCTTTGGACGACAAATGAGATGTCTTTTTAGCTAGATCTAGCATCTTTCAATCTATGATGATCTATGTGCCAACATAAAGAGTAGAATTGGTAAAAACAGGAGAAAGCCGTATGTTTGTTAGTTTGCAGAGAAGAAAAATTGTTTTTTAAGGCATACACTGCTTAGAAGCCAACTTTTTCATATTTAAATCCATCTTTGAATTTAGTAACATCAATACAGGTGTGTATGATTGTGAATATTTTGCTCTTTTGTTATTTTTTTCTATCCTTTGCTGCTGTATATGTTCAATATTCATAATATTGTCTATAAAATGATATACATTTAAAAAAAATACCTAGTTTAAAACTTGTAGTAAGTCATTAAAGAAACTTTATTATATTTTTTACAGAACAAGATACACATAACTATAATCAACTTAGTTTGTTTTTTAAACTAGGTTTTTATTAACTGTGATCATCAATATTGTTATACGCTTAGTCAAAATATTTGGGGATATTGCACCCACAGTCTGAAAGTAGGGTGCGTACATTTAGTCTAAATATGATTCTCATGTGAAGCCTTGCAGCTAGACATTGTAACACGACCTAATTTCTACCCTGCCAACAGAGGGAGGCAATAGTTTGTTTTAGGCTTTTGAATCACTTCCAGTCCAATATTAATTATCTCTTTTTCTATCCTTTGAATGAAAATCTTCAAACATAAAAGAATTACAAATAGATTAAAGATTAGAACAATGAAGATAAGGTGTAGACATAGGGGGAAGTAATGGACAGAATGTAGCAATGTTGACGTTTGTTTGAGTTTTCTGCTAGGTTTTGAGTTGAAAGAGAAAAGCCCACCTGCATGAGGCCTTGTCAAACAGAGCTAAAGAGAAACCACATCATTTCGAATTTTGTGTATATTTCTATGTTTTTTTTTTCTAAAATTATACAAGCGAGTAATAAAGAAAACCCACTTTGATACAGACTTTTAAAAAGCGCGTTGTCTGATTTTCATACTTTCAATTTTACTGTTCAATATACATGTTTGTAATCACTTACTGTAACTTAGGGCATTGTTACACAATTTTGTCTCAACCTTGGGCCTTGTTACTTGGGCATTGCAACATTTCTGTATCAAATCATTTTATGAACTGGAAACATCCAGTAAGCTAAACAGCTAGTGGTTGGGTTTGGTGTGGTTGGTTTCGGTTGCAAGCCCAATAGCCCTCGGTCTGAAACTTAATTCACACGTCCTTGACATTACCTTTAACATTCACACGTCCTTGACATTTCCTTAAACATTCACGTCTTTGTTATTTTAAATTTCACGAAAAATTATCAAATAATCTTCAGTTTCATCTTTAAAATTTTGATTGGGCTATGTGAATTAACGATTGGGTACAATAATTTTGTGGGGACTTTCTTGACCTACTTACGACAGTTTGCTTCAGTTCAAGCATCAAGCAAGAATTATTAACTTAAGAAAAAAACAAGACACACACTCTATATCAATGGTGTTATTTATGGAGGCAACAATAGGTGAACAATATCATACAACAGTCTGTTGAAAAGGCGGTATGGGTGATTTCGGCTTGACCACCTTGTTGATCTGGCGCCACTTGACCACAAGGCAAATGGTCACGGCGACGATGGTCAGCATGAAAAGGATCATGCAGGCTACCAGCAGTGTTAATAAATTTGGCTTGCCCATAAGGTCAGTACGATTACCTGAAGAGCAGAAAGAACAGAAACTCGTGAGGATATTTTACTAATCTTAACTATACATTTACTAATCTAAACTATATGATTTACTAATGTAAACTATGGCGGCGCTGGGGCTGAGTGGTTAAGCGCTTGGCCTTTAAACCTGGGATCCTGGGTTCGAATCTCGGCGAAGACTGGAACTTTGCGAATTTCGGGATTCTTAAGGCACCAATGAGTCTACCCATTGTGCTGGCCACATGAAACCCTCGTTAAGCGCTGGCCAAAGAAACAGATGATCTTAGCATCATCTGTCCTATAGATTACAAGGTCTGAAAGGGGAACTTTAATGTAAACAATACACATTGCTAATGTAAATTATACGATTTACCATAACAAATTTATGATTTACAATCTGAACTATTGAAGTTACTAATCTAAACTATAGAATTTACAAATCTAAACCATATGATTTACTTATCTAAACTACTTTATCAAAGATGTTCTGCTTTGTTTTAACCAATGTTTTGAACTCAGTCAACAAGCACTAAATAATTTAAGGCTCAATTTCTTTTTCACCATTTAGTTAATCACTCTTTTAAAGCAAATAAATATTCAATCAGCCACTAAAACAATTTATTGGCTTATTAATTCATCCATCGGGATACACATTTGAGACCAAAAGAAAATCTGCTGCAGAGGACAAACGCAGACGACGAAAAGAAAATCTAAATCGACCACCTGCGGACAATGGTTATGCTTGCCCTGGATGTGGCAAAATATGCAGGTCACAGCTGGGGCTGCGCAGCCACGGGAAATACTGTATTCCTCATTAATCTTCGGACTCGAAGACAAGCCTTATTATTATTATTATTATTAATTAATTAATCAATCAGCATCTCAATGACAGTTAATTCCTTGATAAATTTATCCGTCGATAAATTACTGAATCCCTATGCACAACAATCAGCTAATCAATCAATCTTTACAACTTATCTTTAAAATCAATCTTACAAATCAACCGCACAATCCCTCCACTGAGTTCTAACGTACATTGAAAAGACGATTACATTTATGAGTGGTAGAAAGATTTTTTTATTACGTCAATGGTCGAGAGAAAGCCTAGGAAGAGAATAGAAATCTTACGTATATGGCAGAAAGGCCTCTCGTATCCTCTTTCACAGGCGTGAAGGCAATACCCAGTAACATGGTGACAAGGTTCAGAGTTGGCACATTGACCACAAGGCAACTGACATCCTGGACCGAAGCTTCTGTTGCTGCATTCTGGAATAAGTTATGTAACAATCAGGGAAATAGCATTGATTTTCGTAGACAAGATCTCCAATGAGGAACTGTTTGAAGAACAAAGCAGCAGCCCCATTGAAATAGATATCCTTCAGAGACGCTGGAGATGGAAAGGGCACACCCTTCGCAAGCCTGCATCCAACATAACAAGGCAATCCCTAACCTGGAACCCCCAAGGAAAGAGGAAGAGGGGACGGCCGAGGAATACATGGCGCCGCGGTTTGGAAGCAGATGCCAAGCAGATGGGCAAGAAGTGGGGACAGTTAGAGAGACTCGCCCAGAACCGAGACGCCAAGAGAAAGCTGGTTGGTGGTCTGTGCCCCAGAATGGACCACAGGCAGAGATGATGATGAGATTCGTAGACACCCTGATCACATCCTCCATCACGTGACCTCAATAATTTCTGATCTTTTTCTTATCTGCGGCGTGGACACTGGGTGAGTTAAAAAGAGGGAACAAGTCAAAAGAATATAAAAAAAACTTTACGACACAATATACTAATATAGCCTGGATAAAAACATACAAATTGCGATTAAAAAAAAAGGGACAGTATAAAGCCTGGTCCATTTCCAGCAGAACAAGAAGCCAGACATAGAATGATAACTTAACTGTTGATGCTATTTACATGACCATCAAGAGGGTGAACTACTAATACTTCATTTCTGAACTCAATAACTTCTCTTCTAAGTACCTAATTAAACTGTTTTTTTTTAAATTTTTACAAGCTCTTTAGTGTGGATTTTCACACATAAAGTTACTCTCGGTAAACTGTTGTATCTTTACACTGTTGTGTGTTTACACGTATGTTTAAACTGTTGTATGTTTACACTTTAAGTTGTAAGATCCCGTCTTCGTTCAGTAAGCAATCAAGTAAGAGAGATAAAGAAGAGGAAACGATATGAAGAAATATGGTGGCGATAAAACCGACAGAAAACCGTTAGAATATAAAAACAAGCTTTGTAGAGATTTTGAATGAAGCAAACAAAATAAGTTTCCAGGACTCCTTTTTGATAGTTGCCAACTAAAGAATAAAAATTATCTTTGTGCTTAGTTGAAAGTGTTTTGAAAATTAATTGAATAGTCATGAATAAAAAAAGCACAAATAAAACAAAAAGTGATTAATTAAAACACTTAAATTAACCTCAGATATAGAGTGTATGGCTTAACAATACTTCCGTACTTTGTAGCCTGGCGACACCAACAAGCTTACTATTCATGGAATTACCACCAGTTGAAAATCTCGAATAGATTATTATAGTAATAGTATAAGTAATAACTTTAGTACTGGAGAAAATAGACTATCTGTAACTACTGCTAGTTCAAAAGGCTAACCAAGGGTTGCTGACATACTAGAGATAATAGAATATCTGTAATTACTACTGGTTCATAAACTTCCTACATACTAGATGTAACAGACCTACTAGATGTAACAGACCGACTAGAGGTAACAGACCTACTAGAGGAAACAGACCTACTAAATGTAACAGACCTACTAGAGGTAACAGACCTACTAGAGGTAACAGACCTACTAGATGTAACAGACCTACTAGATGTAACAGACCTACTAGAGATACAGATCTACTAGAGGTAACAGACCTATTAGATGTAATATACCTACTAGAGGTAATAGATCTACTAGAGGTAACAGACCTACTAGAGGTAACAGACCTACTAGAGGTAACAGACCTACTAGAGGTAACAGACCTACTAGATATAACAGACCTACTAGAGGTAACAGACCTACTAGAGGTAATTGACTATTTGTAGCTACTGCTTAGTTAAAAAGTTGACCAAGGGTTGCTCACATACTAGAGGTGCAAGTCGGACCTTCCCAACCAGACAAGCAGCCAGAGGGGCAGAGTCCGTCAGTGGCGTTGCACGGGGTATCACAGGCCCCACACTTTCGTAGACAGCTGCTTCCGTAAGTTCCAGGACGGCATCCTAAGAACAAATCAAAACAATGAACTATGACTAAGCAAGTGAAATACATCATGACTAAGCAAGTGAAATACATCATGACTAAGCAAGTGAAATACATCATGACTAAGCAAGTCAAATACATCATGACTAAGCAAGTGAAATACATCATGACTAAGCAAGTCAAATACATCATGACTAAGCAAGTGAAATACATCATGACTAAGCAAGTGAAATACATCATGACTAAGCAAGTCAAATACATCATGACTAAGCAAGTCAAATACATCATGACTAAGCAAGTGAAATACATCATGACTAAGCAAGTCAAATACATCCTGACTAAGCAAGTGAAATACATCATGACTAAGCAAGTCAAATACATCATGACTTAGTAAGTCAAATACATCTTGACTAAGAATAAATACATCGTGACCAAGCAAGTCAAAAACATCATGATTAAGCAAGTCAAATACATCATGACTAAGAATAAGTACATTGTGACCAAACAATTGAAATACATCATGACTAAACAAGTCAAATACATCTTGACTAAAAATATATACATCGTGACCAAACAAGTGAAATACATGATGACTAAGCAAGTCAGATACATCATGACTAAGCAAGTCAAATACATCATGACTAAGATAGTCAAATACATCATGACTAAGATAGTCAAATACATCATGACTAAGATAGTCAAATACATCATGACTAACCAAGTCAAATACATCATGACTAAGAATAAATACATCATGACTAAGCAAGTCAAATACATCATGACTAAGCAAGTCAAATACATCATGACTAAGCAAGTCAAATACATCATGACTAAGATAGTCAAATACATCATGACTAACCAAGTCAAATACATCATGACTAAGAATAAATACATCATGACTAAGATAGTCAAATACATCATGACTAAGCAAGTCAAATACATCATGACTAAGCAAGTCAAATACATCATGACTAAGATAGTCAAATACATCATGACTAAGCAAGTCAAATACATCATGACTAAGATAGTCAAATACATCATGACTAAGCAAGTCAAATACATCATGACT